GAAGAAGAAGAAGAAGAAGAAGAAGAAGAAGAAGAAGAAGAAGAAGAAGAAGAACAACAACAACAACAACAACAACAACAACAACAAGAATTACCAGTGAGTCAATTTATCAAGTTTGCTAAGATAGGTGAGAATATACTTCAAAATGGCATCTTGTGAATTTGTAAAGAAATGCCAATTGAGATATGACTATCAGAAGGTAGAAAGTGGAATACAGCTGTAATCTCCTTTAGAGTAAGCTTGTTTTAGGCCTCTCTTGTAAGTTATGGTTTGAACTGGTACAGTAACACCTTTAAGCCACTAATAAAACAAAATAGGAATTGGAACCATTTTAGTACACCTTTACTAGGCTGTTGCACAACCTGAATAAATACCAATTACACATGCTGAAGATGTCAGAAACATATTCATACTAAAGAAAATTATCTCTTAAATAATTCTATGACAAAACCAAGAGGATCCTGAACAAAAGTAAATATACAACATGAGTACACATAAACACTCATAAATGAACAGACTGTGAGTATCCAGCTATTGTGCACAGATCAATGTTCAAATTATAATAGTACATGCATTCTATAGAATATACCAGCATTCTATTGATATACACATGACCATAAGATGGAGAAAGAGTAGCAAAGCAAAATTTAATAATGCTATCCAGTGGTACATGTATAGCATAGATTGCACTACAGAGGTCCACTGGTAGACAATCTGATATTTCCCAAGAATTCTGGACACAAGTTGTCTTCAGTGTAGACAATCTGACTAATTACAAGACAAATTACAATTCTGAAGGTTACCCACCAAGTTGTCAAATACTATACAAATACTAGTGCATCTTTCCAAATATACGAGAGCACAGATTTCTCAACTTTTGTACAATTTTACATTCGGTAATACTTCTTTTCAATAAAAGAGGGACACAATTGCTTCAGTTATTTCTTATTTCTGTAATTATTTCTTCAATATCTAAACCTAGAAAATTCACAGAGATTAACTGGAGTTGTTTGGAATTGGACAGATTAAATTGCCTTCTTCCATAAGACTTTCAACAACAAAGTCTCCCATTTATGAGAGAGAGAGAGAGGGAGAGAGAGAGAGCTTCTTTTGTTACCATTAGTGACATAACTAAATGCTTATCTTATGGGACAAACCAAGAAATACAACTAATACTCTATTTGTATCTGGAAAGACATGTTGAATTATCAAGGTACTATCTTTGAAAAGGAAATAACAAAGAGTAACTACAGGCATTTGAGTTCTAAATATAAGCTAATGTCCTATTTGACCCTCTGTAAACTGATTCACAACTGACTTGGTGGGGAAATGAAACTATCCATTTTCTAAGTAAATACTGAGTTTCAAAAAGGTTAAAAATTCCAACTACCTTGCCTACTCCCTTAGCAATCTTCATCCTACCCTGCTTTTCCCTTTAGTTTGGTAAGATGGACATTTGCCACAGCTTTTTTGTTCCTTATTTTCTGCCTTTAGCTACCTTGTTTTTTGTGATTTTTATTTTTATTACAAATGACACATCTGTAGTCAGAGACAGTAATTTATATTTTATTGTA